TCTCTCGAGTGCACGAGCAGCTGGATACGAACAGGTGGAATTTACGCAGCTCATTTACACACTTTTCCTGAAGATAGAAGAGTTTGTTGAATCTGACGWGACATGTTCGTACGAACCCTTTGTACGAACAAAAGTAAGAGAAATTTAGGATAAGAATATGATCATGTTCTTGCATGAGGCCCATTGTTTTGTTGTTTTGTAACCACAAAACTAACCTCCTACTGAGGATAATGCTGCTGAAATAAAGGTCTAGTCTTGTTTTGAGATTGGTTTATGTTAGCTTTACTGCTTCACTCACATAGGTGGAACAACCACGGTGCACGCCAACAACCACAGTTCAGGAAACAGTGATCCAACAAAACCAGAGGGACAAAGAAGCTGAAAGACTGCTGAAGGTATTATATTAAGACAATATATCTAATTACCTGTACATAATGATATGGTTCTCTGGTTAGTTTGTGTTAGTTTGTGTCATGCTGACTGAAATACATTAGACTATTTAAAGTGCTTTAACTGAATTACTTAGCCTTGTATTATGTGTGTAATTTTAAAGAAATGCTGAGGGTAATCACAGTCCCATTGTAGATATACAAAAGTGAATATAACTCAGTGTATTTTCTATTAAACTAAATTTAGTGGTGTAGTAGCTGAGTCATCCCCAACAAATACTCTTGAGTACTCCACATTGTGTGAGATCTTTGTGGGTTATTGTAATATAGTGTTATTTTATTAATTTAAAATGTCAAATTTAAGGTAATCCAAGACAGGATGAGAGCAGATTTACAGCTGAAGGTTCAGCTCACAGAAGAAAAGATGGCTGAAGTCAGCTCGTCTGTAAAAACCTGCCAGGTATGGTAAGCTGGAGACGCTGAATCATGGTTTGTGTGGATTTTTTTTCTCTTTTAACACAYGTATTTCCATGTTTCAGGACAGTTTGGATGCTGAGTGGATGGAGATTAACAACGTGTTCTTAGAGGTGATCAGAGCCGTGGAGGACGCGCGGCAGAAAGCACTCGATCCTGTGGAGAAAAGGTTGGTAACAGCTGTAATGCGACAAAAAAATCAATAAACTTGTAATTATCGGTCGGGTAACTTTTATGAAAGTATTGTTTGAGGTATTTTATCAGAAATAATATGTTCTTAGGAGACTGAAAGTGAAAAGARACGCACAAGATCTGCTGCAACAGCTGCAAAAAGAAACTGATAGACTCAAAAACTCACTCGATGAGTTGGACAGAAACCCAGACCTGCAGGTGAGACCTCCCTTCAGGAATTTAGACCTTTTAAGTCTGTTGGACTTTTCCAAATGACTGTTTGTTTTAGTTGTGCATCATTATCAGGCCTGATACCAGCAATTTTACAAGTATTCGAACATAATGTCTCGATACTTGGTACCAATACCAGTATCAATACTCCATTGAATGTGTTACCCTGGATTTACACTACATGCATCTCCACTCTGCTGTGCTGTGGTGTGCAGTTCACAKCTGTTTGTTTGTGCCCCAATTTATACAGCGTCCGCTGCACTCAGTTCTGCTCCGGTGCAACACAGAGGAGGGAGCGTGTGGAGGAAGGCGATTGCACGATAAATCCAGTTAATGTGGAAGTCAGAGCGAAAAAAATTATTCTGTGAAAGACTAACTCTAAACACAGCTGAAAACATTGATATAAAGGCTTTTGATATCTATGTTGAAACTGTGTCGCTGTCGTCTTTTTGAAACTTCTGATTTCAAAATAAAATCCACATGTATTGTGTGAGTACACATATGCTTCATGCTACATGTTTCCATCTGCTTCCCAAACAGAAYGATACATTCTGACAGCRTTTGTGTAGAATTATATCCATAAATTGATTAATATAGCTGGGAATTCGACATTATTCTGACAAATTATTCCACCTAATAGTGTCTTATTTTGAAAATACGGATGATGTGCTCATTCCTCTTCATGTTGGTGCGACATAATATTTAAAAATTGACTCCGGTGCWGCTCCGGCTTTCGGCAGAAATAGGATCGGATCTAATTTTGCCGGATTGCCATCCACTTACTACCRCTGTGCGGAGCCAGTGCAAATACTCTCATTAGTTATAATGGGTGTGTTTTTGCTGCAGAGGCTGGACCGGAGTGGAGCGGAGCTGGAATGCATGTATTATAAATTAGGGGTTATGGTTATGGTATRTGGGGATGAGTGAAACCCATGTGAACAGGGGCCTCATTAGTGGACCCATTACTCTCCCCAACACTGAGCTTTTAATCAAACCTTTGTGTCCCTCTGAAGAAGGAMACAGGTTAGAAACACTCAGTGTTCTAAGCTTCTCAGGATCCATAAAGGTTCTCCAAGAATTCTTTCCCTTCGACTAGTCAGGGCCAAGCATTGGCCCAAGTAGTGCAAAGAGGTCTCTAATTCAATGCCACAGGCATCACACAGACCATWTTCATGGAGTCCCATCACAATTTTATGGCAATTGAGCATGGTGTGCCCAGTTAGGACTCCAGCCAGTGTATTTAAAGTTTTCTTTGTCAGGGCAAGAAGGGCTCTTCCAAACCAAGGATTTGGGCCATTTATCAGTTCTTGTGCCTGTCTACAGTCCGTCAGCTCCCTCCAGCGGATTGAGTGTTGACATCTGATCCATGCCTGTAGGGCAGTCCTACAGATAGTTGTTGAAATGCCTATGGCAGGCCCTGGTCCTCTAAAGTGGGCTTGACTGCCAGCTCTTGCAAKGTAGTCAGCTCTCTCATTACCATAAATGCCAGTATATCCTGGTACCCATTTAATAGTAACACTGTTAAATCTCCCCATTTGGTTGATTCACTGCCTCGGCACACTTCCAAGCCAGTAGTGACRTAAAGTGTGGCCCTCGGAGAGCTCTAATAGCAGCTTGGCTATCTGTCAGGATGAATATTTCCTTCTGCATACACTGAAGTTCTTTGAGAGATGCTGCACACTGGTGGATTGCCTATATCTCAGCTTGAAATACCTTTACAAAACCACCTAGTGGGTAACTGTACTCTCTCTTGCTATGGTTGTGCAGAATCAGCACCCCTGCACCTACTGACCCCTTTATAAGGGATCCATCTGTAAAACTGTAGAAACAATCAGGAGACAGTTCCACCATAGAGAAATTACTTTAATCAGGGGTTACAGTTTATGTTTCAAATGAAAAGTTTCAGTTCCATGTTTCATAAATTCATAAAAGCTGAAATAAAATATGTAATTTGTATGTATTGTAAAACGTTACAACAGTATACATCATGCTGTATGTTTGATTTGATCCAGTCGGACAGGCTGNGAGAGCTCTAATAGCAGCTTGGCTATCTGTCAGGATGAATATTTCCTTCTGCATACACTGAAGTTCTTTGAGAGATGCTGCACACTGATGGATTGCCTATATCTCAGCTTGAGATACCTTTACAAAACCACCTAGTGGGTAACTGTACTCTCTCTCACTGTGGTTGTGCAGAATCAGCACCCCTGCACCTACTGACCCCTATATAAGGGATCCGTCTGTAAAACAGTAGAAACAATCAGGAGACAGGTCCACCATAGAGAAATTACTTTAATCAGGGGTTACAGTTTACGTTTCAAATGAAAAGTTTCAGTTCCATGTTTCAGAAATTCATACAAGCTGAAATAAAATATGTAATTTGTATGTATTGTAAAACGTTACAACAGTATACATCATGCTGTATGTTTGATTTGATCCAGTCGGACAGGCTGTAGGCCTATAAGGAAGTAGAGACACCTTGTTCTAAATTTTAAAAATAAGTATTTTTAAAGTCACTGTATAATGTTTAGGTTCTAACTAAGTTCTCTGTATTGGTACTATGTATCAGAAATTATCCAAATTGAAATACTTACACATGTACCCGATTTGAGAAAAACTGGTATTGGGACAYCCCTACCCCTCAGAATTAATTTTAATAAGTTTTATTTCTCTCTCTGGCTCCCACAGGTTTCTCTTCTCTCGGGTCTGGATGAGTCTACAGCTTGGAAAAGGTTCAACATTGACACCTCATTTTCTTTTGGCACTCTGAGAGCTACAACAGCTACCATGTTGAAGGAGATCCAACAGAAACTAGAAAACCTGACCTCCCTGGGTGAGACGATTTTTTTGAAGGATGTTTATTTTCGTGAATTAAAATTTGTGTTTTGTTACCCAACACTTTACTGAAAAATGTCTTTCYACAGAGCTCAAGAGGATCCCAGTGTTTGCAGGTGTGTATGCATAATGTTCAACACTTATAAAAATAAGAACTATAAATCAAGATGCATTGTTTATTAAAAATACACTAAAATTAACATACAAATAAGTAAAAACSCAATAACTCCTCTGTTGTTAGGTGTAGGTTGAAAAGTTAATCCTTTTTGAGTTCAATTAAATTATTTTGTTTATTTATTCATGGGGATCCATGGCCTAAAGTAWGGCCCCCTAATTGAAATTTGTTGTATTCTTTAAAAGCACTATTTAAAAAAATGCAATATTCTGTAGAAATGCCATTTGTGATCAAAAGGTYCTTTAGAGGGTCAAACAATAGCAACAGCTGTGAGAGAAAAGGAAAGACCAGCAAACACACCTTTGGTGACAGTGTGAATTTTTTTAAACATACTGATTATAATTCATATTAATGTTTCCACTATTCCTGATGCTTTGTTCCATGCCAGCATTAGTGTTGTACTGTAACTGACCTGTCTTCTGTTTGACCACAGAGGACGTAAAGCTGGACTCAGTCACAGCCCATCAGTGCCTCATTCTGTCTGATGACAGGAAGAAAGTAAGGGACGGAGGATTGGCGCCCAAACTCCGTGATCATCCAGAGAGGTTCGATATGTTCGGGAGCGTCCTCGGGATAAACATCATAACTTCTGGAAAGTCTTACTGGGAGGTAGAGGTTGGCAAAAAAACGGGCTGGGACCTGGGTGTGGCGCGCCGCAAAGCAAATCGCAAAGGGATCCTGGCAGTGAACTCTGACAATGGTTACTGGGTGATGGTTCATTATGAAGACAAAAAGTAYGCAGCAATGACCATGCCACCCATCAGCCTTCCTCTGAGGCAGAAACCACAGAAAGTTGGGGTTTTTGTCGACTACGAGGATGGTCTYGTGTCCTTTTACGACATGACTAATCTGTCTCACATTTTCTCCTTCACTGAGTGTTCATTTAGAGATGAGATTGTCCCATATTTCAGTCCCCATCTGAAACTAAATGATAAAAACAGTGATCCTCTGGTTATATCTGCAGTGCAGAAGCAGTAATGTACATCAGCGGACATTTGGTAAGTTAGGGTGGACAGAATATACTGTACCATTTTCAAGTCAWGTATAGTTTATGTTCATTTATGCATTTTGAGCCATAATTATATGTTTAAGAAATTCTGTAATTTTAAGTAAAATAATGATTTAATAAGGTTTTTTCTGACAGACTCGTTTTAACAGTTTGTAGATGTAAGAAGAGTCTTTAGATCTGAAAATAAACTTTTAATTGAGAACTCATTTGGTTTCTGGATATCATTCGGGCATCCAGTCTGAAGATTTCCTTACAGTGTTATGTAGCATGAAGGATCTCTCTTCCAACATGACCTCTTGACTCTACAGGTCATGTCTGGTCTGAACTGAACTGTTCTGAAAATGCTTTCAGACAATTCAAAAGGACCGCCTTGAGGCATAACCCAGCAAAAGGGAGAGTTCATGAATTCAGCCCGGGACCAGGCTGAAAGTGAAGCAGGAGCTCAAGAGGATGACCCGAAACCCATTCCAAGGTGAAGCAGGAGCTCGGGGGGATGGCCCTGAGCTGAGAATCCACAGYGGGCGAAAAGACCACCATGTGAGCTGCAGTGGGCATGGAGATCACCCTGAACCCTCCCACCGTGGGAGGCGCAGCAGACGTAGAGACCACCATGGGAACTGCATCAGACCTRTAGAGTAGGGGTGTAAGAAGATATATCAATACACTAAAATATWGCAATTTTTAATTTCCCGATACTGTATCAATTCTGTAAAGCCCAGTATTGATATTTAATTAAGGTTTAAAATGTAAACTTTTGGGCCAACAGTTCATTTTTATGTTTTATTTAGTYTCCGACTGCTAGTTGGCAGCAGTCAGCCAGCCATTTGGTTCCTCAACTCCCGAAGAACCAGAGAGTGTAATGATAGCTCAAACATTAGCATTGTGTATTGATGACTGCATCTGAGTGGATTAGACCAACACTTGCTGCCTCCTAAGCTGGTGTAAAGTTGCCAACAGTTCCTTTTTAGCTGGAATGTTTGTATTTCAAGCCAAATTGAAGTGTCCTATTCGGGATGACCTTGCTCTYGACTGGAATCAATCGYCATGTCACAGAAGGCAGGCAGGCATTTGTCTAGCACCCCGAGCTCAGGGGGTCCCAGAGGGATGGTACTGCAGTGGCCAAATGCAAAACTATATTAAACTTCTATGAAAAAGCTTGTGACTGGCGTTCTTGGACCGCCCCCCCCCAGTGCACCGTGACAGCTGACAGCACAGACTCTGTGCAGCAGCTTCATGTCATCCATTTACTGAATTTTAGGTCAGCATATAGGCTATTGTTAATGTGTTGGGTGACCATATTTTATAGCCTGGTTTAAACCATCCCCATGTCCTCAGCTTTGCTTCATACGAGGGTCTGGACTCTCGGCTATAGAGAAGCAATTCTTACTGGAGGCGTGACCTCTGTTGAAGTTTAAAATGATTGTATCGGTTGGCCGTGACATACAGTATGTGTGCCAGTTGCACTGTGAAGGAGGCTAAGCTACGAAGCTAACTGGAAATTGCGTGCGCTGTAAACAACCCTACTGAGAGGAGAGAAGTACCGAGCTGAACGAGACGGCTGTAAATGAGAGCTGCTGCTTTGTCAGACAAATTTAATTTAATTTGGAAGCCTTATCAACTCAGACTGACTTCATTCACTTCCTCCACTGCCATTGCTAAACTAGCAGACACTGTGAAGAAAATCTATGTTGTCAAATCTCTGCCTTTTGTTTGTTCATTGGCCCAGGTAAGATAAACTACAAGCAGACACTGCGCAGAAAATCGACGTTCTGTTCTCTGATTGGCCCGGCTAAAATTCTGAAGAAATCCTTGCCTGTGGGAGAAATCCCAGACTAAGCAGTGAAGAAAAACTAGAATTGAGCAGAGCTGCGTAGGAAGGCAAGGGCCAGGCCACATATTTTATAGTAAATTAATATGAAAACTTGAAAGCTGCCACAAATATATTATCAAACTAATAAATGCCACATTCAATCTAATAATTGAAWACATGGATGAAATAAGAATTGCGAAACAAATAAAATACATACTAAGTTGACAATTTTTGGACACAAAACRTCTAAATAGCACCTTTCTCACAGTATCACAAAATAACATTTGTGGCATTGCATAGTTTTTTTACTCTACTCTATATTTGTATTAGAGGTGCAAAAATACATGTACCTGTATTAAACTGTTCAATACACACTGTATATCAAACAATACAGATTAAATTAATTTTATTAGCTTGTCTTCTGAAGATGCTCTGTGTTGAAGGCGCAGCAGATCTGTGTTTAACTACAATAGGCTGCATTATCGAGCCCAGATCCACTGAGAAACTTGCTGTTTCAGCAACATTTAATTTACTTTTGTGGTTAAACGAATGTTCATAATTAAATTTATTGAATTACAAGTTAAGAAGAGCATGGAAATTTCTCAATTTTTTAACAAAATAATATACTGTAGAACCATGAGACTAAAGTATCAAAGTGAACCAAATGGTGAATTTTCTCTATTGTTGCACCCCTTTTTTTTGTATATATTATCCTGAGCTACGAGACATAACATATGCTGACTGGACAGAATACCGGTGACAGTGTGGTAGAAAAATAATTTATACATCTTCTTCAGATTCTTCTTTGTCACCATGTTTTATGGCTCCACTGTTTCTGTTAGATAAAATGTTTTATGATCATAACGAGACACAGACGAGATGTAATCATTCTTCTCCACAGGTGCCAAGAGGAATGGTATTGTCTGTTTAGAAAACATACAAATGCCAGAGGTATATACAGGGAGGTTTCATGAACTGCCTCACACACAAATCTTTCTAACACAGGACTGCACAGCTCTGTGTTACACTTTTGTGTCTTGCAACTGGAATAAATAAACTCAGACGACCATTCTACAACATGCCTTATTCTTTGGATCACATATTTCTCTTTTTGTTAAATATTTATTTAATATTTATCTGCACATTTATCTGCACGTTTATCAACGGAGCAGATTAACGTGCAGCAAAAAGCCAAAGWAGTGACATATTCAGGCTGTCGATGAAGGACGTTTTAAAATGGACTTCAAAACCACTCAAATGAAATGTTTTCCATGTCTTCAACTGCTGATTGTTCCAACCTTGGGCTTTGTGTCTTTCCACCTGTGTGGTGCACGGTAAGTCATGTGATGTCCGAACCAGTATACAGATCAATGGGGGTCAAACAAGAAGATCCAGTAATACAGATCAATGGGGGTCAAACAAGAAGATCCAAAGTGATGTTGTGTCATATATTAAAGTCAATTAGATCAACACAAGTTAGAAAACAAAGACAAGCAGATTTCCCGTAAGGGTACAAAAGATCAGACAGTATTTCATCATAGTATGAGGACTGAAACATAAACCAACAGTGCTGTGCACAGACATTTTGAGGGGGGCAGGTGCTCAAGGAAAATAAAAAAGTGGCACACAATCACCAGTTGCCTTAGTGTGAACTTCATTAGACACATCTTGTTCTTGGTGCATGTTTATCTACCGAATATCAGCAGCCATATGTTGTCTGATGCACATATTTAATATTCAACACTCTACAGGTTGTTTTTGTAACAAATTGACAACAACAGAACAAAAAATAGTAAAGACACATTGTTTATTCTTCTGCCTCTACATGTAGAAAATAACTTCAACTAAAGAAAACTTTTTCACAAAATAACTTGTGTCTTTCTTGTTCTGTGGAGGATCTTCCTTCCATCTCCCCCTCATTTTGAGAGTGCTCTGTTTCTGTAGCTGTCTATTTTCTGGACTCTGAAATGTTTCTATGGTGCTTTCTATTGCTTTCAATGAAAGGACAGCATAGAGCCACATCCTTGATGATAATAATAAATAAAAAAAAATACTGTATACATGTATATTTTGGCAAAAGTGCTTAGTGACAAGAGTGCAATGAATTACAAATTCAAGACTTTCAAAATTTAACACCCTAATGCATAGCAACTTTTTCTACACACAAACTTTAATTTAATAGTATTATAAAAAGAATTGTTGCTGTACCACCCTGAACTCACCAGATCTTGTCTGCTCTTGGAAGCTAAGTAGGGTCAGGYCTGGTTAGTACTAGGATCAGGTTAGGGCTAACCCTTAACCACTTGAAAATACAAGGTACCACAAAAGCAATGTAGGAGTTGCAGACAACTGTCAATAATGGGTCATATGTTGTTTTCTAAAGGATGCTAATAAAAAAAAAGATCAAACAAGAAAGGGTTTTACAGACAGTTTATTCCTCAGTATGATTCTGACCTTTAGCCTTCATCTACCTCCTCCTCTGCAGCTGCTGGTTTGATACAGGAGCTCTTTCTTTTTGTTTTACACCTTTCTTTTCTTGGTATTATGTTGCAATTAGTAAATGAGCTATATCAATGTTCTGCTGTGTATGATAATCAAGAGTTGCACAAAAGCGGTGCACAGGTGCGCGTGCACGGTCAAAAAAGGAAAAAGCGCACCAGATGTAACGTCGTAAAGCTCACTTGCGTACCTAAGATTGTACCTGATTGTCTGTCAAAACAACAGCTAGCAGGGCTCTAGAGTGCAACCAGTTTGGTCGCAAACACGACCTGATTTCTTAAAAGATAATAAAATAAAAAATAAAAAAATTCCGCCGCACAGTGTGACTGGATCAAGTTCAGTGCTCACAAAGCTTGACAGTGGGACCCTGACATAAGGATTAAATGGACACTGTCTTCAACAAATCAGACGAAGTCCAGAGCCGTTTTGTCCAATCAGAGCAGAGCAGGGCAGGACTTTCAGTGAGAGCATGTTTGGTTGAAGCAGCAGCTCGACTCGAGCAGAGAGGCTGCAGCGGTCARTCAGTTCCTCCTGCCAGCACGTTGTTCCTGAACTACCAGAGACTTTGGTTTGTGAAACCTAAATTTATATTGTGTTCTGAATGTTGTTATCGAACAGATCTGTCCAACTTTGTGTAAGTGACTAAACTCTCCTCCTGAGAGACTGCTGTGACAGGAGCGCGTCGCTGTGCGCACAGGCTGTCTGTGAGATTCACTGAGATCTTCTAATTAAACCACATTAACTAACAGAACATTTGTTTATCCCATATTAAAGCAAAGATGATTCTCTGTTTAACAACACCCCATCAAAAAATGATATTTTAAAAAATAAAAACAACTTGCCATGTTCTCTACCTGAATGAGTTTTAAATGTTATTTTAATTTATCATTGAGACCCCCAAATTTCATTCACAATTTTATCAAAAACAAGGTTATTGATGTGCTAGTACCTTCCAAACGGGGTAATAAGTGTGGTCAAAGGGACTGACTCTGGATGTAGTGGCACCTGCCAAAATCCAGCTATAGCATCCAGTTTTAATAATAATAATAATGCATTAGTTTTATATAGCGCTTTTTGAGACCCTCAAAGACGCTTTACAATTTTCATGCATCATTCATTCACACTCACATTCACACACTGATGGCAGTAAGCTACATTGTAGCCACAGCTGCCCTGGGGC